GTCTGTGTCTGTGCGTGAGTGTCTGTGTCTGTGTCTGTGTCTGTGCGTGAGTGTCTGTGCGTGAGTGTCTGTGTCTGTGTCTGTGCGTGAGTGTCTGTGCGTGAGTGTCTGTGTCTGTGCGTGAGTGTCTGTGTCTGTGTCTGTGCGTGAGTGTCTGTGTCTGTGCGTGAGTGTCTGTGTCTGTGCGTGAGTGTCTGTGTCTGTGTCTGTGCGTGAGTGTCTGTGCGTGAGTGTCTGTGTCTGTGCGTGAGTGTCTGTGTCTGTGCGTGAGTGTCTGTGTCTGTGCGTGAGTGTCTGTGTCTGTGCGTGAGTGTCTGTGTCTGTGCGTGAGTGTCTGTGTCTGTGTCTGTGCGTGAGTGTCTGTGTTGTGTGTGAGTGTCTGTGTTGTGCGTGAGTGTCTGTGTTGTGCGTGAGTGTCTGTGTCTGTGCGTGAGTGTCTGTGCGTGAGTGTCTGTGTCTGTGCGTGAGTGTCTGTGTTGTGTGTGAGTGTCTGTGTTGTGCGTGAGTGTCTGTGTTGTGCGTGAGTGTCTGTGTCTGTGCGTGAGTGTCTGTGCGTGAGTGTCTGTGTCTGTGCGTGAGTGTCTGTGTCTGTGCGTGAGTGTCTGTGTCTGTGCGTGAGTGTCTGTGTCTGTGTCTGTGCGTGAGTGTCTGTGTCTGTGCGTGAGTGTCTGTGTCTGTGTCTGTGCGTGAGTGTCTGTGTCTGTGCGTGAGTGTCTGTGTCTGTGCGTGAGTGTCTGTGTCTGTGTCTGTGCGTGAGTGTCTGTGTCTGTGCGTGAGTGTCTGTGTCTGTGCGTGAGTGTCTGTGTCTGTGTCTGTGCGTGAGTGTCTGTGTCTGTGTCTGTGCGTGAGTGTCTGTGTCTGTGCGTGAGTGTCTGTGTCTGTGCGTGAGTGTCTGTGTCTGTGCGTGAGTGTCTGTGTCTGTGCGTGAGTGTCTGTGCGTGAGTGTCTGTGCGTGTGTGTCTGTGCGTGAGTGTCTGTGCGTGAGTGTCTTTGTCTGCCTGTGTCTGTGTGTGAGTGTCTGTGTGTGAGTGTCTGTCTGTGTGTCTACGTTTGTCTTTGTCTGCCTGTGTCTGTGTGTGTGTCTGTCTGTGAGTGTGTGTGACCGTGAGCAGAGGGTCGACCACGTAGTTCGTGAAGCCTTCGATGGCTGTACAGATACAATGAAAGGCTGATCAATGCCCGTGTGCGGTCAAGGGATGGCTCCCTATTGGTCAGCCACGTTATGTATGCCGATTATCTGGTAATTGCTGCTCACTCATAGGAGGAATTGGAGGCGCTGCTGCTGAACCTGGAGCTTGCCACTAAGAGGTGGGGTCTTACCATCAGCCCCACCAAAACTAAGCACCTGCCTGGGTATTTTGTACTATCGGACACTCTACCCCCACAACTCCCAATTGGTGTTGGGGCAGTTGTGGAGAGAGAGAAGAGTTTCCCATACCTGGCCAGTGTGCTCGTGACTGGCTCCGGTTTGACAGCAGAGGTCTCACTCTGAATCAGTTAAGCAGCATTATTTTTTGATCGGTCTTCTCGGCCACGGTCATTCCCTCACTTCTCCACGCTTGCGAAACATGGACCCCCTAATGGAACATCTTCGCCAGGTAGAAACATTTAGGCTGGCCTAAATTTTCCAGTCTGTTTAGGCTATACGGGGGATCTTCGCCTTTGTGTGCTCAGGATATTTATTTAATTGTGAATGACTCAATGCGACCATGTTCAGAGTATTTACGTGTTTATTTATTTTCCAATTTATATAATTTATATCCTGCACGTGAGTTCTGTGAAACCGCTCAGATAGAAGCTTTTAGTATCCAGGAGACACGCTTGATCACTCTATCACTATCCTCGTGGCTTGAATAATAATAACAATACGAAATAACATCAGTGCCAATTATTTATCCAGGGGCAGCCTCACCGAGTCTCAGGAGCGCGCTAACCGCTGCGCCACCGCTCCCTGTAGATGCTAGAGCCAAACTCAATACAGATGAAAGTAGGATGTAGACGGTTCTTAACTCCAGTTCACACCCCTGAGCCGAATGATGAAAATGCCACATTCCTATGGCGGGATGAGGTGGAGCGCAGGGGGGGGGGGGGGGGGGGTCTATCCATAGTACAGTTCACAAAGTGGTATCTTGTTTTATCGACCCCCCCCCCCCGAGGAATGATGGGCTGAATCAACCACGCTATCGGGATTTCAAAGTCGCAACATTTCACTTTGCGATCCACTCGCAAATTTGTGGAATAATCACATTCATCATATTTGTATCGATTGTATGCATGTTGAACTTCTGTCGCATCGTACGTAGCAGAATCAATAATTGTACTGGAGGAATCCGATGAGCTATTGAACTATATTTTTGTAAACAGATGTCCAGTAGGGGCACGGGGTCAGAACGTCACAACAACAAACAATACAAAGCCCCGATAGGGTGGCAAAGTTTAGCAAAGGTAACCAAATCACTTTAAAAATATTTATATATATTTTTTATCTTACCAGGTAAATCCCACTGAGCTATTAGCTTATTTTTCAGAAGCGACCTGGCCACAAATGATAGCTCAGCAAAGTGGCTTATCACGTGGCCATTTTTGCAGCCGTACCCGGGGAGTTGAGTTAAGGATGTCCCGGATGGGAGACGATAAAGGAACGGGAGAGGGAAGGTTGAGGAATTAGAGGACAAGGATGGAGTAGTGGAGAGACGGGAGCACAGGGGTGAGGAGAAGTGGGGAGAGGTGAGGAGAGGTGAGGAGGTGGAGGCTACACTGGGGGCCCGACGCTGCTGCTTCTGCAGGGAGGAGCGGCGTCTGTTTTCACAGGGGGCGGGGAGAGGGGAGGGGACTCGGAGTAAGGGCGTGGCCACACGGAAGTCACGTGGTCTACGGGAGAATCGACAACGTTCCTCTGCGCGTCTCTTTTAGCCAACCAACTCCAGTCCCGGCCCAGAGGGTTCGCTATGCCCGCACCGCCCTGCCTGGCCCCGGTGCCACCGTCGCCATATCCCTCCGCCCCCTCCCCCACCCCTTCTCCTCCCTGCCCCTCTCCCCATCCTCCTACCCCCTCCCTGCCCTACCCTCGAACCTGCCGGGCACAACCACGACATCGCCCGTTCTCACGCTCACCGGGCGCATCGCCCACAATTACTCCCCTCCCTCCCTGTCTCCCTCTCGTCCGACACCCCGCGTTCGCTCACCCTCCGTCTCGCGTTGCCTTGGCGCACAACGACAACAACAACAACAGAAAGTGTTTCTCAGGAGTGGCTATTAATTCCCCTTCAACAACAACAACTGGAATTCTCCACGAAGTGGCGGTGACGTCCCCACGGCGCCCGTGCCAGGCTAGGTGCACGTTAAGACCACGTGGAGTGTCGAACGCCCGCTGGCAGGTCACGGAATAAACCCTGCAGGTGCCATCGGTGGTCGACTGAGATGACGGGTCGATGCAGCACCACCACCACAACCTGTGCCAACCTTCCCCGTACACACACCAATACTAACACCCCGCCATTCTACACTGACGGTGACGGTACCACGCGACTGTGCCAGGCTAGGTCCATACAACAAAAAATTCAACTATTACTACGTGTGCCGAAGGCTCGCTGCTGACAGGAGGTCGCGTGACAGACCCCCTGGTGCCACGGGTTCCCCTTGACCTGAGGAGGTTGGCAGATGCGCCCAGATGCGCTTCAAACTGTGCCGACTCCGCTCGTTCTTGCGAGCGTCGCTCCTCCACATCGCACACGACTGCTACTGCCCTGACACCCCGCACGACACAATCGCAAAGTATGTTGCTACCTCGGACACCCTGCCCATTCGCCGCTTTACACGATCCGGGATTATCTAACACCAAAGGCATTGATCCCCCGTATAGGCACAGCAAACTATTGGGGCAAGTGCTGTGAGCGAGCAACGTTGAATACATCCCCGCACGGTACACGAGCGGGAAGTTGTCGGTCAGCACCGCACCCGGCCGCCTTTGTCTCCCTAATGGTACCAGGAAGTCATGAGTGACTGAGTCGACCCAGATGAGGCTTGGGACTGAGTAACATAATCGTCACTTGTGGTGGTGGTGGCTCTGAGCGGGAATCGAATTCGTTGTCTCCGGCATCGCTCCCGGCACTGCACACACGCACACACCCTGCACACACACACCCTGCACACACACACACCCTGCACACACACCCCGCTCACACACACATCCTGCACACACACACACCCTGCAAATACACACCATGCACACACACACCCCGGACACACACACACCGCACACACACACACATCCTGCACACACACACACCCTGCACACACACCCCGCACACACACACCCCGCACACACACACACACACCCCACACACACACTGCACACACACACACATCCTGCACACACACACCCTGCACACACACACACCCCGCGCACACACACACACCCCGCACACACACACACCCTGCACACACACACCCTGCACACACACACACCCTGCACACACACATCCTGCACACACACACCCTGCACACACACACACCCCGCGCACACACACACACCCCGCACACACACACACCCTGCACACACACACCCTGCACACACACACACCCTGCACACACACACACACACCCCGTACACACACACATCCTGCACACACACACACCCTGCACACACACACACACCCTGCACACACACACACCCTGCACACACACACACACACCCCGTACACACACACACCCTGCACACACACACACCCCGCACACACACACACACACAGCCCACACACACACACACTGCACACACACACACATCCTGCACACACACACCCTGCACACACACACACACCCCGCGCACACACACACACCCCGCACACACACACCCTGCACACACACACCCTGCACACACACACACCCTGCACACACACACACACCCCGTACACACACACATCCTGCACACACACACACCCCGCACACAGCCCGATTCTTCACCCCCTCCCCACTCTGCCCTCCCCCCCACCATAACACAGTGACGGCTGGGCTGACCGCAAGGAGGTGATCGCGGGGTACGAGAAAGAGGCGGTGGGTGGCATCACCATCAAGCTGCGCTCGGCCGACGTGGCGTGGTTCGACGACTACTACCTGAAGCTGCAGCTGCGGAACAACGCGCGGAACCCCTGGTTCCCCGAGTTCTGGCAGCATCGGTTCCAGTGCCGCCTCTGGGGTAGCCCGCAGGAGAACAGAGCTTACAAGCGCAACTGCACGGGTAACCAGTGGACAAAGAACCCCCCCCCCTCCCCCGTATAGCCTTGTAAGACTGTTCATAGTTCATAGTTTAGTTCATAGTTTTCATTTATGTTGGTATAGCCCTGTGAGCCATTCGGCTCTTGAATCGGGTGCAACCGCAACAACAAAAAAACATGAACAAGAAAACATCTTAAAGTGATTTTGTGACTGTGCAAACAGAAGATACAGGAAAAAAAACCCATCAAAATATTCCTGAAATAGCACCGTACACCAACGCTGTGTGCAAAAATCCCAGTGGGATGCAAGTCAAACAACAACAACAACAACCACAAGACAACTAAAATTAAGGTCATCAGTCTAACTCCGTACTACAATAAACAAAAATATGGCCAAAACAAAAAAAAAAAACTTGTCGAAATCACCAAAATAAAAGCCATAAATGCAATGTAACAGTGATCATAGGGACTGTGACCGAATTTTTAACAATAAACTACATAAATAAATTATAACACCAAAATCTAGGGCCATAATTTAGGCCACTGAATAGCAGTGGCAGCTAGGGTTGTACAACTCCTCTAGAGCAGTTTTGAGTGAAGATCTCATGTAGGGGCAAGTGCTGTTAGCGAGCACCTATGAAGGCCGGAACGGTACAAGAGAGGGGGGGTGGGTGGCCAGCACCACAGCCGACCGCCTTTGTCTCCCCAGTGGAGATGTTTACTACACACCGCACCAGGTATTCGTTTGAGGCTGAGTTTGACTTAGGGGAGGCCCAGGACCGGTTCAGATAATCGTCACTGGTGTTGGCCGTGAGCGGGAGTCGAACCCGGATCTTCGGGTTCATAGCGCAGCGCGCTAACCGCTGCACCACCGCTCCCCACCAGAGGAAGGGGGAGGAGGGACGGGGGGTTGAGGTGGCACGGGTGAGCGGGGAGGGCAGATATTAACTACCTCGCCTGGTATACAGGAGGTCGTGGGTTCGATCCCGACCCTGACGCCTGCTGTAGATTTGGAATTTGCGTGTCTCTCTCCCCGTGCTTGTGAGATATGTTAACTACCTCGCCTGGTATACAGGAGGTCGTGGGTTCCATCCTGACCTTGACGTCCACTGTGAGGATTTTTCTCCGGGTCCTCGAGTTTTCTCCTCCGCATTTCGAATCAAGGTCACGCGTTTGGAGCTTTGGGTTTCTTTTCATTTCCACGCCATGATGATAAGCAACTTCGTTGAGCTATCATTTGTGATAGCCAGGTCGCTTCTGAAGAAAGAGCTATATAGCTCAGTTGCGAAGTGTCAACGGCTCGCTGACCGGCGGTCATAGGACAGACCCTGCAGGTGCCATGGGTTGACTGGGATGATTGGCCGATGCCATCGGTTATTGGCAAGTGCACTCAGATGTATATGCTCTCGTACCACATCATTCCATCTCTTTTCTAGCTCATGCCGCGTGCGTTTAGACCCCTCTATCCGGCCGAACAGAAGCTACTTTGGGTACGCGGTGGCCTGAGTATGCGGGCGACATGACCCAGCCAACAAACTCACCACCACTCACACACACACCCCGCTCATACTCACACACCACCACCACACACATACTCTCACCACCACTCACACTCTCACTACCGCCCACACACACACCGCCACTCACACTCTCACTACCGCTCACACACACACCCCGCTCATACTCACACACACCACCACCACCACACACATACTCTCACCACCACTCACACTCTCACTACCGCCCACACACACACCACCACTCACACTCTCACTACCGCTCACACACACACCCTGCTCATACTCACACACACCACCACCACACACATACTCTCACCACCACTCACACTCTCACTACCGCTCACACACACACCACCACTCACACTCTCACTACCGCTCACACACACACCCCGCTCATACTCACATACACCACCACCACACACATACTCTCACCACCACTCACACTCTCACTACCGCCCACACACACACCGCCACTCACACTCTCACTACCGCTCACACACACACCCCGCTCATACTCACACACACCACCACCACCACACACATACTCTCACCACCACTCACACTCTCATTACCGCCCACACACACACCACCACTCACACTCTCACCACCACTCACACACACACCCCGCTCATACTCACACACACCACCACCACACACATACTCTCACCACCACTCACACTCTCACTACCGCCCACACACACACCGCCACTCACACTCTCACTACCGCTCACACACACACCACCACTCACATACAACAACAACAACAACCGCCATTCGCCACGAAGTTGCGGTGACGTCACCACTACGCTTGTGCCAGGCTATGTGCACCTTGAGGCCACGTGAAGTGTCGACACTTCACTCACATACTCTCACTACCGCTCACACACACCACCACTCACAAACTCACCACCGCTCACACACACCACCACTCACACACTCTCATCGCCACTCACACCCTCACCACAACTCACACTCTGACCACCGCTTACACTCACCACCGCTCACACTCACCACCGCTCACCCACTCACCACCGCTCACCCACTCACCACCGCTCACACTCTCACCACCGCTCACCCACTCACCACCGCTCACCCACTCACCACCGCTCACACTCTCACCACCACTCACACTCTCACCACAACTCACACTCTGACCACCGCTTACACTCACCACCGCTCACACTCACCACCGCTCACCCACTCACCATCGCTCACACTCTCACCATCGCTCACACTCTCACCACCGCTCGCACTCTCACCACAACTCACACTGACCACCGCTTACACTCACCACCGCTCACACTCACCACCGCTCACCCACTCACCACAGCTCACACTCACCACCGCTCACCCACTCACCACCGCTCACCCACTCACCACCGCTCACCCACTCACCACCGCTCGCACCCTCACACTCCGCTCACCCACTCGCGCCGTGTCGTCCACCAGGCAACGAGAACCTGCAGACCAACTACGTGCAGGACAGCAAGATGGGCTTCGTGATCAACGCCATATACGCGATGGCCCACGGCCTCCACCGCATGCAGAGGTCACTCTGCGGTGGCCACCTGGGCCTGTGCGCGGCCATGCGGCCCGTGGACGGCAGCGCCCTCCTCGACTTCCTCATGCGCACACAGTTCCGCGGCGTCTCCGACGAGGACATTCGCTTCGACGCGAACGGAGACGCGCCGGGCAGGTGAGGCCGGTGGCGTGTGGTGCTGAGGGCCGGGGGGGGGGGGGGGGGTTCTGTTCCGTCTTCATTTGGTCTCGTATAGCCCCTTGATGATGTAGTTGCAGAGCGACGTCTGCAATGTCGCACTCAAGGTGCTCAAGACCCAGGTAACCGCGTTAGGAGCCGGGGGGGGGGGAGGGAGTCGTAGGTGTTTCGTCACCATCGCCGCGATGTCTCCTTCGTCGTCTTTGTGCATCTCAGGGCATTGCTTCGTTAACGCGTCGCACTCTGGTCTGTTCGGAACGATCGCAGTCACGGCACACCGCTGCTGAAGAGTTTTTAATTTTACATGAGCGCATCATGATCTGCTGCTGCCATGGTTCGTGTAGTGGATGCGGCTTTGCGCGGACCACGAACTTCGTGGAAGATCAAAAAACGAGGGAATGTCTGCGTTGGGTCTATTGCGTGGCACCCTGCCCAGTGGACCTTCGACGCTTCGACGGTGCATTGAAAACTATTTTCTCGACAGCAGTGGTTCTTCATTGCAAGGCCCGCGTGCCACTGAAGGTCCCTGGTGACATTTAGTGCGGCCAGCGACAATGCACAACACTCCCCATCATCATCATCATCATCATCGTGCTGCTGTCAAACCCAACAATGGTTTCAAATGTGTAGCGGCCCTCACACTGATCATGTCTTATCGGCGAAGGTGACACCTCCCCCCTCCACCCACCAAACATCAGTGGAGAAGACTGCTCTCAATTGAAAACACATTTCTTTACAACAGCTTTTTGTGCGTTAGTTTGTTGTCCTTCCGCCGCGCCTCCGATTTAGCGCGGTTGGCTACGTCCCGTGCGAAAATAATTTCAACAGACGGTACACATGAAATGTAACGACTGCGGATACACCACTGTAGAGGCTTCTTCTTAATTTATATCGCGCCCACCACACGACTACGACTCGGTAGCACCGGACATAACGCTGACTGTCTAGCGACGACAGCCAGGACCCCGATCCCCCACGACAGCCCCGAACCTCGCTTGTCCCTGCCTTTTTATTCCCCCAGCGTGGCCATGCTCCGCCCCTGGCCACGCCCCTCTTCTCGAACTCTCTCGCGGGTTCCAGGAGCTTCCAGGTCCCGTGGTCCCCCCTTGTGGTCGCTCGCGTGTACGCTCACTTCTCTCGTTCTTATTCTGTTCCCACATCCCGTAATTATCACCATCGGCCGCTAGTCGACGCACTGTCTCTACACATCCGTACGCGGCCTTGAAGTGCACCTAGCATGGCACACGCGCCGCGGTGACGTCACCGCCACTTTAGCGGTGAATAGCGGTTGTCGTTGTCGTTGTTGTCGTCGTTGTTGCTGCCGTGGGACTCCATCCTATTCGTGGCCGTGATGCTGGCTGCAGCAGCGATGTGGTTCAGGAGCTCCATGCCAATGTCGAGGTGCCGCTGCTGCTGCTGCTGCTGCTGCTGCTCGCCACGACGAGAGGGCTTCAGCAGACAGAGAGGAGCTCGCGTCGTGTCGCTGTTCAACGTTATCGTAGCTGTGTTCACGTCGGCAGATTCGTGCGTGACTATTCACCAACGACTCTCATGTGTACGATGTGATGTCACGCGTTTATCGGTCACCCCATGTAACCCCTGGGACATCGCCACGCACCTCCAGGAGTCCCCGGTTGAGAATCATTGGTGTAGTGTATAGTAGTGTATAGTGTAGTGTATAGTAGTGTAGTGTATAGTAGTGTAGTGTATTATGTAGTTTATAGTAGTGTCATCTATAGTGTAGTGTATAGCAGTGTAGTGCATAGTGTAGTGTATAATAGTGTAGTGTATAGTGTAGTCTAGTATAGTATAGATTAGTGTCATGTAGTGTATAGTGTAGTGTATAGTAGTGTAGTGTATAGTGTAGTCTATAGCAGTGTATATTGTATTGTATAGTGTAGTCTATAGTAGTGTCGTGTATAGTAGTTTAGTGTCTCGTGTAGTGTTCAGTAGTGTATTGTATATTGTAGTGTATAGTGTAATACAGTATGTATTTAATGACTCACATGTACGATATGATTTAACACATTTATAAATCACCGCACATAACTCCTGGGACATTGCCACGCACCCTCGGTAGAGAGCCACTGAGGTTCGAGGTCACTCGCAAGGAAGTTGCCAGGAGCCGTTCAATGATCACTCGCCACTGATGTTAGCCGTGGCAGAGAATCACTCCCTACAACGAACACGCAACAACAACGGCCGCCGTTCGCTAAGTGGCGGAGACGTCACCGCGGCGCTTGTGCCAGGCTAGGTGCACCCTGAGGACACATGAAGTGTGGATGGCTTGCTGGCAGGAGGAGGTCACGGGACAGACCCAGGTGCCATGAGTTCACTGATTGAGATGATGCACCAGCTGTGCTGGCCACTGTGCCAAATTGTTGCGCTTTAGTCTCCCGGCGCTCCGCTCGTTGTTGTGAGCGTCGTTCCGCTGTGTTGTTGCAGCGTCGCTTCACGAGCCTCCTCCACAGAGGCCGATCTTGACACCGCTGGTACCGGTCATCGGCAAGTCCACTCAGCTCCACATCCTTCCACGCGCAGAGATGAACGCACGCGCGCGTGTGCACATGCATTTACAGGGGATTAGTGAAGAGTAAGAGGCTAACGCATTATGCGTGCACGCAATGCACTGAACATCAACAACAGTAGCCTACGTCACCGCGCAGCGCTTGTGCCAGGCTAGGTACACTTTGAGGTCACGTGAAGCGCAGGCTTGGTTGTTTGGAGGGAGCTCACGGGTCCAGATCCCAGCTGCTATGGGTGAAGCGAGATTATTGGTTAGGGAGGAAGATGCTCACAGACACAAAGACAAAGATGCCCCCGCATAGCCTTAACAGACTGTTGAGGAAAGTGCTGTTAGCGAGCACCTACGAAGGCCGGCACGGCACAAACATGCGGTGGGTGGGCCTACACCACGCCGGGCCGCCTTTGTCTCCCCAGTGCTGGTCTTAGCACACACCGCTCTAGGTACTCATTTAAGGCTGAGTCTGATACTCGCTGTCACTGTTATTTGGTCGAGAGCGGGAATTGCTCATACACACAGCACAAAGTTAAAAGTACCCCCACCTCCCGTATAGCCTTAACAGACTGTCGGGGCAAGCGTTGTTCGCGGCACGCGAGTGGGTGGGTGACACGCACGCCCACTGCACCACGAAGCGAACACACGCGCGTGTAGGAGGACGAGGTAAGTGCATACATACGTTGTAATCTTTTTGGCCTTAAGGGATAAACCCACGGCATTACCCCTCACAATCTGTGCCGCGAAGAACGGCAATCCCCACCCAATTTGATTTGCCGGCCGCTTTAGACGAACGCAGCGATAAGAGCAAACGAAGAGCGGGAGAGGTGGGGAGAGCGAGGGTGAGCGAGGACGTGTGGGGCCAGAGATGGAGAGAGAAGGGAGAGATGGAGAGAGAGAGAGAGAGGGAGAGGGGGAGAGAGACAGAGGGGGAGAGACTTGTTGACTTTTAAACAACGTTTATTGCCGCCAGCAGCAACAGCACCGGAGGCGATTCCGATACGAAGTACACAAAGTCACCAGCAACACAAATAACAAACAACAAAGTCACGTGGTGGTGGTCATCGCGCGCGCCACGGCGACGAGCGAGCATTTCAGGAGGTGAACACGTGGGTGCCGTCCACGCTGGTACAGAGAGCCCTCGCGGCCCCCGAGAGGGGGAGACAGATGGAGGGGGGGGGGGGGTAGAGAGAGAGGGGGTAGAAAGAGAGAGATGGAGAGAGAGAGAGAGGGGGTAGAGACAGCAGCAATAGCCCTGGAGCCGCTTCCGATACGGGATCACCAACATCGAGTAGGGCAACGTCACAATGGCAACACGCGTCACGTGCTCCAGGCCGCCACGTGCCAGTGCAAGCACCGCGCAGTCACGCGCGTCGCCCGCGTGACGTTAACTCGGCAGAGAGAAAAAAACATTAAAAATATGTACATAGAAAACAGGGGGAACATCGGCATAGAGTAGGAAGAGAGGGGGTAGAGAGAGAGGGAAGGGGTAAGAAGGAGGAGAGCAGAGCGTGACATCGTTGTGAAATCTTTCATTTAAACGGGGGGGGGGGGGAGGGGCACATAAAGCAAATCATTGGAAAAACAAAACAAAAACAACGAAATCACAAACGAAGCAAAGTGCCGAATACACCGAGCATCTTCTTGATTCCTCGGATCGTAAAATAAAGAGAGAGATAGAGAGACAGAGAGACACACACAGAGAGAGAGAGAGTGGAGATGTAAATGTCTCACTAGGGCTTCTGCACGTCGGAAGCCAAACCGGACACGTCTGTGCCTGAGACAAGGCGCCGTGTGTGTTGAACTTCTTACGCACCGTACGTAGCCGGCTACCCGCGGATTGCTTCACCGTACGGCGCGGAATACGTTCAACCTACCTTGAGCATGCACAAACAACAACAACAACAACAACCGACATTCGCCACTAAGTGGTGGTGACGTCACCACGGCGCTTGTGCCAGGCCATGTGCACCTTGAGGCCACGTGAAGTGTCGAACGCCCGCTGGCAGGAGGTCACGGGGCAGACCCAGGTGCCACGGGTCGACTGATTGAGATGACTGGCTGATGCACCACCTGTGCCCCCTACTGTGCCAACCTGCTGTGCTTTAGCCACCCAGCGCTCCGCTTGTTGTTGTGAGCGTCGCGCCTCCGCCCTCCATTGTTGTTGGAGGGCGACTGCCTCCAACTGCCCAGTAGTGTCCTTCACGAGCCTCCTCCACAGAGGCCGATCTTGACACCGCTGGTACCAGTCATCGGCAAGTCCACTCAGCTCCACGTCCTCTATACCACAGCACTCCATCTCTTGTCTAGCCCATGCCGAGCTCGTTTAGCCCCCTCGATCCGGCCGAACAGAAGCTGTTTCGGCATGCGGTGGCTGGGCATGTGGGCTACATGACCCAGCCAACGCAGCCTTGCCTGCCGGAGGAGCTCACCGATGGGACCTTGCCCAGATCTTTCAAGG